ACCTTGAAAGTAGCCGTCAATTTCCATGTGATTCACCTATTTTTGATAAATAGAAAAAACTAAATATACTTAATCACAAATACACTAAAAAACCGTTGGGTTTAGAGAAAGATGATAAATACAAAAAATGTGTATTTTTAGATGAACTACATTTTGTATATTTATCTTTTTCCTGTATCTCCAATAATAAAGTCACTATAGCGAAAAATACAGAAATATGCCGCCATTTTCCAATATGGCGGCCGTAGCACAGCTTCAATTTTAGGGGACTTTTAGTATGTTCAAAAGGAAGGTATACCCAACATCTGTACCAAATTCCCCGGTTGTGCTAATTTTTTTTAGGTTTATGGAATTTTTCTCTTATTTTTACTGCACTATTGGGGGATAAAGTAAAAACCCAAACTTTTAACCTCAAAGTTCAATATTGTACACAAGATTTAGTAGCATAACAAAAGTGCCTTAACTTATAAACAAAATACCTACGTAATACTGCTTTTAACTTCATTCCAAGACAATTCAGTGAAATGTTTCTCCAGATTTAAGCAGGTTTATTCGTATTGCTATATTTTGTTAAAACAGTTAAAATATACTAGAAGGCCAAGAATGGCCCAGAGTATAAACATTTCAAACATGAGAAGAAAAATATTAAAATAACAGAATACATCATATTATCTGTGTAATGTCAATTAGCTCTCAAAATATTTTGTGTCAATAATAAATTACACATCCAGATAAAAATAAATATTGACTAATACAATTACCGTTGAATGAAAAAGTGAAATTGTATATTGGACAGGAAATCGGAAGTTATGTAGATTATAGATCACAGATGCAGTGTTTTGGTTCAGTGCCCCTTCCTTGGCAACCGGCCAACAATGAGCTGGTAACCTAGCAACGGCAGTCCACCCGCGCCGACAAACAGGTAAGATGTTTTTTGTTGATTGTTTATTTATTTTAATTGAAATCGCTTGAAGATGTATGTTTTTATTCAACTTCCGGTCAAGTTTTTGTTTGATATCGTTGAATTGACGGTCAGACAATTACCGGTTTTGGTTGTAATAGATTTCAAAATGTAAGAAATAATTATTTCTCCTGGAGGCATCATTGTCGTAATTTGCTTGGCTTTGAATCATGATTAAAAACATGTATTAATTTACAATAGCCTGTATTTTATAATTTTTACATAGCATTGTAGTAAACGGTCCTTTGTTGAAATTGGTTATACAGTCCTAGAATTAACAATTTCCATTGGCACCTCGAAAACTAAATCTGACTCTTTAAAGTAAAGGGGTTTATATAAAGTATCGCGTTTATTGAAAACTGTTTTTACGTACGCATTAAAAATTATATTGAGGAATAGGAAACCTATGTACTGAAAAGCAAATGTTTCTATGAAATGTGGGCATACTTAAATTTATGAAAAGGTATTTATTTGTATTTTCGAGGTTATTTTATTAATGGATTTTTTTCCACTATCAACAGCTGAAGAATTAGAACTTGCATGTAGAATAGATCCAATAAGGATATAAAATAATGTATCATAATTTAAGCGTGGATTAAAAAACACCATTCCTGTATTTATTCTATGGATTGATTTGATTAATAATGCTTCAACCAAAATAACATTCGTGAATAAAATGCATTTATAAATTATAAAATTTAATAACATTCATCTCTACACTAAAAATAACGAATATTTATCTGTTTAAGTTGGACAAATATTTTTGGTAAGAAACCTAACTATTGAAAGTTCAACGGACAACCAAATGAGGCAATTGAGTTTGAAAATTCAAGAGCCAAAGACTGCGGCAAAGTTGCCTAAAGTGCTTCAACATCAGTTAACTTAGTTAGGACTTATGTCGAGAGCACTCGACGAAATGTGTTGTTATTATTCATTACTTCTGGAAATCGGATTATTTCACGAACCACAGGTATTTTAAATCGATTACTTTTTCACACACGTCCTAGTGAGGTTAAAGTAACATTTGCACTCAAAGTTTATGGGATTTTTTGTTAAGAGGAACGTCAAAAGACAAGAAAGTGTCAAAAATCTAAGACAATTAAAGTATATTTTGATGTTTTATATTGCACATTATCCACGCTTCGATATTTTACTTTGTTTTGGGTCGATCGTGGTCAAATAGTGTCCATTAAACTAAACTTGACAATTTACGCCACTAAACCAATTTTATTGTTTATCGGTTATTTGTTACATAATTTATCATACGAGACACTACAAACACAACATACTCCCTTAGTATATTACTCATCCTTAAGATCAGCTGAAGACAACTTTATTGTTCTGTCCGGTGCACGGTTGAGGTCGTGTTTTGTTTACAATTTAATTTGTTTCTTGTCATTTCACTAATTTAAAACCTCGTTTAACCAAATAAAACGAACTGATCATAAACAATAACTCATCTAGTTATATAACCAAACAGAAAGGTACAAATAATTAATTTTAACCTTAAATAATATAAACAAAATTTCGTTGACACTAGCGATCAGTGTCACCGAACGTTTACCAGACGAGAAAAACGAGCTTCAAAATTTTACAATGGTATGAGAAATGAGAAGTCTATTTGTATTGGTTAGTCTATGATATATCATCAACATAGAACACTGATCACAAACATTATCTTACTAGGTTAGTTTTCATGCTAGAGGTCGTCCAGTGGTAGAAAATTCGACCTAAAATATGTAATGTAGGCCTAATTATTGACTTCTCTATGTTTACCCCAAGTTGTAAATATATAACAAGCGGTTGGTATTTCTTCCATTTGTTTTGATTTTCTGTTTATATTTAGTTATTTCGTCACCAGTTTGGCAACCCACAAGGCCCATGTTAATTTTTAATTTAATTTTTTTGTGCTTATGTTTGATCTTATTTTAGTTTATAATGCGATTCTGCACATCTACACGAAAATATATTTCTAACAATATGCGTAGATTTTCCCTGCGATGCACACGAGCTGGGGAAAAAGTTGTTCAAGAAACATGCTTGCCTATTAATACACAGAATATTTTCTACACCTTTTCTCTGACAATAAGTTAACTTACAAGTTATTCGACATTTATTCACTGACAAACAATTTAAAGGAAAATGATATTTGTCCATACTTAAAATTTTTAATTGTAACATACAATTTCCAATAAAGATTATGAAGGCTACGGTCTTCACGTGGTCCTAAAGTTGGGAATTTTTGTTGTAGATTTGTTTTCATGGTACAAACAATTACCCATAGCAAATCAGATGTTTAAATTTGCTGAAACACTTTGCCACGCCGATTTTTTTGCATAAATAATAGAAGACAAATGTCAAATACACATATGAAAATCGTCTTGCTTTTCTAAAAACAAATAAAATATTCTAAAAACACCTACTATTTTTTCACATCAATCGCACATGTTTTTCCTTCGATGCTTCAAACTACTTCGGAGTATCTAAAGAAATGAAGAGTAAAACAGTAAACGGAGGTCCCGGGCGAGATGAAGGACGACGCCCGGACGACGCTTTTAGGCCGAACTCACCTGACGACTTTACGGTGAGATAAACTCGAAAATTGTTTATACGAAGCTCCAGAGAGCTCCCGCAGGATGAATCGACGCTGATGAAAGCCCGCCTGATTGGAAGGGATATTTTATGTCCCCGTGGCACATGATGGCAGCCCTGCATGCTGTAAACCGGGAATCGTAAAAACAAAAAGGGAAACCAATTGGTCCACCCCGCCCCGTGGACGTGTGACATCCCGTTTTACGGCTTTCTTTCAATTTTTTAACTTTGTGTATGTTTGACGGATCTGGTTTTACGACTACGCGGTGCGGCTACTCAAGAAATTCCGGGAATTCGATAGAGAAGTATTGGAAATTCACATGAAATATTGTTCCATAATTTGTTGGGACTTTTCAATTTTATTCTGTGTATAGCTAGTATTTATCTTTTTATTTGAGATAATTGAAATCTAAAAATTTCCAAAATATACTGTATGTTAAATGTACTGTTTGCATTTTCTTCGAAATTGAGAAAAAGAACTTAAAGACGAGAAGCTTTCCTTACTATTATAATTAGAGATCGTCCTGTGGTCGAAAACTTGACAAAAAATATTTATTGTTCAAACTTCTCTATGTTAACCCCACGCTGTAAATAAAACATGTGATTGGAATTTCTTCCCTTTCTTTTGATTTTCTGTTTATATTTCGTTTGGTATTTCGTCACCATATTGCAACCCATAAGGTTGCATCCATAAGGTAAATTCATTTTAATTTAAAATTCATGTTTATAATAGTGCTTATTTTTGAGCCTATTTTAATTTATAAAGAGATTCTGCACATCTACAGAAAAATATCGTTCTAACAATATGCTTAGATTTTCCCTGTGATTTACACGAGGTGAAAAAACATTCTCTCACAGTGTTTCAAGAAACATTCTCGCTTATTAATATTCGTATATAAAATTCTTTCAGTACATTTCACGTTTAATTGAATGACCTTCCTGTATTTTTATGGGCTTTCAACTTAACAGTAGCCTATTGTTATGAAGAAACATTTTGTTGAATAAGAAAACATGTAAAACTTGACAATATTATTGTATAGTATTGTAAACACAATAAGCGACAGTTCTGCCTCAGTTTTTACGTCAGATCTCGTACAGCGAGTTCTATCCTGTGACAAGCCTAATCCCCTGTCGTGAGTTTACTCCGGCGATTTGTTTACGCAATTCTTAAATTTGTTGTAGCAAAAATCTGCGACGATCATTGCCTTTAAAAGTTTTAAAACGACGAATAATTAATGAAATAGATACAGTATGACGTGTTGAAATACAAATGAAATCGAAAAAGAATATCATAAAAATTGATGAACTAAAAGATAATGCGTAAATGAATCCTTTTGCATACAGTATAGCAAAAATCTGTCTGACTGTAAGACACAAGACAAGAACGTTACGTCAAAATATGTAGAGCCTATGAAATTATATATAATCAGTAACATACAATTTACAGGTGCATACGCGTGGGGAAGATGGCACGGGCGGCGGCCTGGAGACAGCTGTGCCCTCCCCAGGTGAGAGCCCTTCAGGAGTTGGCGAGTCTGAGGCCTCTGTTCCTGCTGAGGCAGAGCGGACCGACAGCCTTCATAGTACAAGAAGCCGAGGAGAAACCAGTGCAGGTCAGTAGTGTGTTGAAATAACTACACTTTGTTTAACTCATGTTGGCCTCGTGTCCAACCATCCTGCGGCCAATGAATATGGTTTGGCATTCATTCGCTATAGGTAGGCCCCATCCCCGACCACCATCGTTATTTGAACAAACTTTAGAATAAGTAGTAACAAGGAATAATAAGTATAACCCTTCGTAATGCTGGAATGCCCCACATACACGGGCATGTTCGCGACGGTGTTGGCGGCGAACATGCTCGCCCCTGTATGGGGAGTTAACGCTACGATCGAGTAAAGATAATGTCAAAGACACCATAGAAATTTGAAGTACGAGTCTTGGCGAGCTTCTAAAGAGAGGTTATGTATTCGTTTATAACCTTATATTGCCACTGAGTGTGATGTGACGAATCACTGTACCAAACACTAATTGCACCACTGATTGACAATTAAATTGGTCTTAACAGCTGTTTGTTTAAAGTTCGGAGCAAGGAAATTTTACTTATTTTCTCTCAATCCTTGAACCTCATTGGTCCGTTTGTTATGTGAAACAGTGCTGTCAGTCAAGTGAACTGCGTTCCTCAACCCTGGTAAATTTTTCGTTGGGACGAAATGTTACTCCATTAGCTTATTTATCAACTGTTAAAGCGAAGGGATGAAGTGTTACTGTGTAAGAAATTAGAGTTTTGCCGAAATTTTACTTAGCCGATGTGTTAGTACACCGTTTAATTGCAGGTACGACTGGGAGATCCTCACCACTGCAGCTGTAAGATCCACCATAAGTCGCGGGAACTGTGTCTGCACATCTGCTGGGTGCTGCTGAAGAAGCTGCGACTGAGGATGTCCAACCCGCTGTCGTACCAAGTCAGTGTTCCTAGCTTGAGTTAATTTTGTACACAGTAAACGACACAGCTGAGCATATGCATACAGATCATTCTCAATTAAAATAGTTTCTTAATTCTGCATGATCATTTTTTCAAATTCGTCACTAGCCCCAAAAGTGTTTGAAACAATATCGCATTTTACAAGACGACCCGTTTGTATTCATACAAAGGTTTCTTAGTGTGTATGTTTGGAGAAGAGAAAGTAGATTGAAATATCTAAAGCCAATGTATTTTTAACATATCGCTGCTTAATCAACCTTTTATATTAACATCTTACAAAATGTTCTAAACTATTTCCTATGGTTTATCCAGAAAGAAAGCATATCATTGCATGAATATTAAATGCATAGCTTAAGTTAAAACTAATAAAACATTGAACCACGAACAATCCACCAATGCTTACCTGCAACTATACCCCTAACCCCTTGATGGCATTTCCTTTGTTAACTCATACCCCCAATAAGATAAGGTTTCAAATATACTTTTCGTCACACTTCAGCAAAAATATCCATTTTGAATGCGTGCGTTGCGGGTCTAAAGTGGCATTTTTACTCTCTATGAAGCAGGAAAAGCGTGTTTACCTAATTTGTTTACCCCTATGAAGTAAAAATCAGTTGTTGTTAACTAAGTTGTAAATTTCGATTGTAAACACAATAGCATGTATCGAAAGTAAATATCGATCGTAGTTAATTGTTGCCTTGGTTCGACACATCGATAGTATAATGTACAGTGTACAATCGTAATAGACGAAACGATTGAATAATTTCTAAACAGCTGCTTGTTTCCATTTACAAATTAAATTGAAACCAAGTTAGAAGTAGTTTTGAGAGGTTATGTTTAAATTAAAACTATTTTAGTTTTGTAACTTAGTTTGTTCAAGTAATGGTGCAAAATGACGAAAAATATAGTTCATTACATGGGCAAAAAGTGTATTTTCAACCCTCGCTCATTTTTTAACCTCGGCTTCGCCCCTAGTGATGAAATAACGGTTTACAGTCAGAAAAAGAAACTTTTTGGAAATACATTGTAATTTGATCGTATCAGACGGTTATCAAAGGGAAGAAAACGTAACATAAACCGTCGAGTAGCTCAAATAGAGTTGAACAAGTGGATTAAGGGTGAGGAAGTGTTACGGCAAGAGCGGCTTAGAAAGTTAACTTTCCGAGAACAAAGTGGGTCTTGAGAGTCAGAGAGGGGAAGGGGGAGGTGAAGGGTTGAAGTAATGAGCATCTCTCAAGGTCGTTGAAAAGTATAAACTAAGAGTGCAAGTCGGAGAAGTTGGGAAGGAGGGGAAACCACCTGTAGAGTCGGGAAATGAAGAAGTGCGGGATCATAAAGAAATCCAGATCTATTAAGTGGAGAGAGCCCCCTCCCCCTCCCCTCCAACCCTCCTGCTCCTTCTAAGATGAATGAATGGACCGACAAAAGGACTCGCGTAGCCTCAGGAATGCAACCCTTGCTCAGTTGCTTTCATTATAAACTTTTCATACCTTTCGAAACCACTTGATGCTTCCTTCGTACCTTTTGTTTCTCCTAGGTTCACTCTTTCGTGAAAGGATCTTTTATGTAGGGGCTTGTTTGGAATTTTAGAACTGTTTTTATTTCAGATTTTTTTTTATAAAGTATGAAATAGTATTTTTTATGGTTCATCTAGTTCTTAAATTATGTATGTGTTATCCTTAAAAAGCCAAAACAAAGCTGATAGCTGACGTTCCGGATTGGGTACTTGATGGGATCGTGACCTTAGGCAAAATCAACTCGAGCACCATCCGTCCCTTAGGTGGAACTTCCCCGTGGAATAGTCGAGAAGTACCAAGAACAGCACCCGGAATCGTACTAATTATTCTTTTAAAAATTGAAAATTATTTTTCTGTGAAAAAGGATATGTACAAAACGCTTCGGCCCACTTTTCGTGCGGATCTAGGCCGGGGCCTAGTCGGCCTGATAGTAAATCCAGCATTGTTAATTTGACATTATTATCGATGACAAAACTACATACAATTGCATAAAATTTCTATGACTGGCATAGACGATGCGATGCATAACCTACAATGTCACCAATGTTAGTGTGTACACATTTACGCCTTTACTGTACTTTCTAAAATAATTACTTTACCTGTTTTGAGCATTCGGAATAAATCTGGCTTCAAGATAAAGTCCATTTACCCTGGAGAGAATGTCTTGCGCAACATATCCACTAAATACCCGAAGGACCGCGGGGATCCGAAATCCGTTTTCTTTCGAATTGTTTCTACTTGTGACTTTGTATAATTCTTGGAGTCTAAATTTTCCTTATTGATTTTTTAAACTTATGAGCCACCTTTGGACGAAGCAGACACTTATTTGCATGGAAGTTTATACACGGTCAATGAAAGTATTTCCCTTTATATTTGCTCATTGAATATCCTATAAAAACAAGCACGTTTTTTAAAATCCTTTTTTCCAGCTCGTGTGCATCGCAGGAAAGTCCACGTATACTATTAGGAAGATATTTTCCCGTAGATGTAAGCCTCAAAAAGTCCTTAAAAATAAGCACAAAAAATTAATTTTAAATAAAAAAAATAGCATGGATCTTATGGGGTTGCTATTCTGGTGACGAAATAACAACGAAAAATAAACAGGAAATCCAAACAAATGGAAGAAATACCAATCAAATGTTTTATTTACAGCGTGGGGTGAAAATAGAGAAGCCTGTACATTACATATCTTTGGTAGAGTTGCGACCATTGGACGATCTCTAGTTTGTTTGGAAATACGGCACGTCCTAGCAAACACGTGCTTCAACAATTGTATAACGTGCTTGTAACCTTGATCTCCCTCCTAGCTGGGGCTGGTACCCAGAGAGCTGGGCGATCTGCTGGAGCCCCGGGGACTGCCGAGGACAGTTCCCCGCAAGCCAGCGAGGGCCCGGGCAGAGCAACAAGCTGTGGTGGCCAGAAGACCTCCTCAGTCTGAAGACCTTTGTCCTATCTGCCTTCTGCCTTTTGGAGACTCCCAACTACCTGGTGAGATAATTCTATCTCTTTTAATTGTTAAGGCAACTAATCTTCTATACTTATAAAAGGCAAAGCCCTCACTGACTCAATCACTCACTCACTCATCACTAATTCTCCCACTTCCCATTTACCTAGGAGGCTGAAATTCTGTACACCGATCCTTTGGCAATTAAATAGGAAAACTAAGTAGTTTTTATTCTGATCGGGCTTTCGGGCTCCGCCCCAGTGGCTCTGGAGTTTCCCATGTTAACCTTATGATTTTTCATATTTAAATGGAATTAATGAATCTTAAAAGCTGTTTCAATTAAACAAGTTGGTTCTGTTCTATGATGTTCAATAGCATTAAAGTTACAAGGATTACCAACAGGGTGCAGCACTATTGTTTTTTTTTAATTTATGACAACAGCTAATTTGCAACCTAAAGGTGAGTGAGCGTAGCGAACGAACTTCAATCAGGATGTGATTGAGCCATGCGAACGAGCTCATCTTGAAAATTAAGAAGTTAAACGGGGCAAAGCCCGCGGGTACAGCTAGTTTTTAATAAAGTCAAACTCGGATGTTGTGCTATCACCACAAGTTAGATAGACACTGTTAGATTACCATTGTTTGATTAGGTAAATATGTTCCATTTGACTCAATGTACCTGCACAATTGATTTAAACCAATGTACATCCACTGGTCTTTTTGGGTCCGTGTTGGAAAACTTCCACTGGTTCAAGGGTCCAATCTAATAAAGCAGAGATACGAAATAGCGATATTGTAGGTCCTAACTGTGTTTTTTTTTCGAAAATACATGTCTGCCCACTGAGCAAAGACGTTTTTGAAGCAAACTGGTTGGCAAAAAAGACACTTTGCTTGCTGTCTTGCTGTCTTTAAAATTGTGTGGATCAGACTAGTAGGTATTGGCCATAACTACTCTTTAACCTATTGAGCCCACGGTTTTGAAGCACATTGGTTGGAAAATGTACAATGCTACAGTTTCGTCAGGCTCAGAATACGGGTCGTCTTGGGCTTAGAAAGAACTTGCTGTTTTGAGACCAGCCGCATACTGTCACTACCATCTCCTACGGTTTGTTCCATTTGGCTTATACAAGGATACTTCGCTGTCTATGGTCAAGACCAGATGGCAGTTTAGGTATTGATGAAGAAAGAAATAACTCACTGTCTTTAAGAAGACCTGTAGTATTGAGCGGAATCACCGGTCTGCTCAAAAAGCTAAGCCATCAAGTTGGTTGGCAAAAGGACAGCAACACTTCTATGATATAGTGGCCAAATTAGTAGTGAGACGAACACTAGCTGAGCTAATCAATTTACATTATACATTGTCATGATATTGTTTTAGTTGTCCACTGTCGCTACGGATGCGGTAACGCTGTCCACACCCGTTGTATGGTGCAAGTTGCTCGACATCAGCTGGACTCTCAGGACCTCGGCACAGATCGTCTGCTGACGTGTCCTCTCTGCAGGTAAAGATGTGATTCGTCACTTTCTGAAAGATAAATAGTGTTTATCCTTTGATTATAGATGGACTGGTATTCAATAAATAAACTTATTACCCGCCGCAAAGTAGTTTTCAGTTTTAAAACACTCGGAGAAGTATACTCCTCCGTGGTGTAAAAGACAAGTTCAATTAAGCTACAAATATAGTACACTGCTGTAAAACGCTGTTTTCTTTCTTATAACGAACCAACTTCACCATTCCTAGTATAGTATAGTATCTTTTATTTGCCCACAAATAATTTCCTACTCTCTAAGATGTGCATTCAATTTGGTTCTGTTTAAAGCTGACTGCTTAAAAATACGAAATATTTACTTTACTACAGACAGAAGTCGATGATTCCTCCCCAGTTTACCACACCGGTGTCTCTATTTTAAACCGCGTACTTGCGATTTTTCCATACTCTCTAGTCTACTTGTACGTGTTGCATGGCCAGAGGACCATTCTGTAGAGGATGTGAGCTCGCGGATGCTGCCAAGAGACGAGCCCACTGTGTCCAGAGTCGAGCCCGAGCCCTCGCCCCTGTGGGCTCACACGACGTGGCATGCGTGTTCTGTCGTGTCTGTCCCATCGTGGGAAACCTCTATCGCTGTCTGCAATGTCCACAGGTACAGTAATAAAATAATCATAAGCCAATTTTGCTATAAGTTTTATAAAAGATTCTGTTGGTATTCTGAATGAGATTCTGAGACAAAGGACCTAATGCGTTTGTGTAAATAAATGTTTTCGTTTGTAGTTTTGAATTGGAATATAACTCAGGTTAGAGATGCACGGATAGTTAAATATGTTAAGATACCAATAATCAATTAATTAATGTAAATTCGCAAATGCAAGGTACTAGAATTAAAGGAAAGAAAAGGGGACCACGCCAAAGTAGGACAACGACACACGCGAGCAACGATCAACTGGGAAACTTTTGAATGTGTTTGGTTTCGTCGTGTCGTGCAACGCCAACTCCGTACACTTTAAAAATGTGTCCAGGTTCGTCGTTGTGTGCAACGTTAAACTGGTACTAGGACACTTTTGAATGTTTCCGGTTTAGTCGTTTCGTGCAACGCCAACTCCGGACACTTTAAAAATGTGTCCAGGTTCGTCGTTGTGTGCAACGTTAAACTGGGACTAGGACACTTTTGAATGTTTCCGGTTTAGTCGTTTCGTGCAACGCCAACTCCGGACACTTTAAAAATGTGTCCAGGTTCGTCGTTGTGTGCAACGTTAAACTGGGACTAGGACACTTTTGAATGTGTACGGGTTCGTCGTTTGCGTGCAACGTTAAACTGGGACTAGGACACTTTTGAATGTGTACGGGTTCGTCGTTTGCGTGCAACGTTAAACTGGGACTAGTACACTTTTGAATGTGTCCAGGTTCGTTGTTGTGTGCAACGTTAAACTGGGACTAGGACACTTTTGAATGTGTACGGGTTCGTCGTTTGCGTGCAACATTAAACTGGGACACTTTTGAAAGTGTGGGTTCATCGTTGTCAGACTTTAGAGGTGTATGATTTTACATAGCATTGATAATATTTGTTGTATTCAGGTGTTGATGTGCGCTACATGCGTGAACAGCACGGAGTATAGTGACCTACACAACCGTCACGGCTACGCCATCAAAAAGGTAAACATAATATGCTAATTAACTTTTTATACTTAGGTAGCTATTTAATCGATTTATTTACTTTGAAATGAAATATTTACTACAATTTTTACATTTTTCTACTGAAATATACTTTGGATAGTGATATTAGACATATCTTCGAATTGTGAAATCGGGAACCTGTTTTTTTTATCCAAGTACTTTGATATCTTTCAAAAAGCTTGGAAAATGCTTTAATGGAGTTGTTAATAACTTCAATTACAATTTATTCATACTTGTATCTATCACGTGTTGGTTTTCATCCATCTCTACACTTACCGAAAGGGGTATTTTAGAAAAATTAAGCAAATATTTTCACTTACTCCCAAATATTTGTGCACAACAAATTAACGATCTAAGTTTCATCCCATAACCAACAAAAGTGCACAACCATGAAATCAAAACATTTAGAACAAGTAGTGCGATACGAAAGAAGAGAAATATTTAATTCTTCCGGTCACCAGATACGTATCACCAAACCCCGCTCTCACATAGGTATTCCACCCCTTGTAGGAAATATGAAGCTCGTATTAGCCTGGGGATGTGTAGGGGGGGGGCTATCTGGACACCTTGGAATATACTGCTTACAACTTTAAACTGAGAAATCCAATTGAATATTCCGGCTCTAACGAACCGGACATCTCGATATGTGAATGTGCTTCAGACATTCAAATACGTCGATTGTTTACCGACCTTTTTTCCGGTGGACTGTCAGTATATTTATGTAAAAGACTTATAAAACTGTCATACATATTCAAATTAGAAATAACTGTTACATTCATACATCTGAGTACTCAGTTTTTCAGGTTTTCATAATTATTTTAAGATTAAATATATAACAAAAATAATTTTTAGAAAGAGGGTTTTATACATACGCTTTATATTTTCATTTCTGAAATCGATTTAACAACTGCTTGTATATTCAATTACCCCTGTAAAAGGAAAAATAATTATCGGAACGAGACCTTTGCGATCCTACATCAAGCACTTCGATCTCAAAGTTTAATTATATTTTGTGAGCAGAAGGAGCCAAAGAAAATCGAACCTTGTGAGGGTCAAAGGAAGAAAATTAAAGGATTTTGAATATTCCCTCACACATGTCGGGTCCAGAGCTGACCAGTGTGGGGGGAGGGGGAGGGGCGATATTTTAGCATCACCTTCCAGGCCAGCGTCTCTCCGGGCTGATCTTACGTTGTTATCTCCCCTTGCATGTGACCGGCGCTGTTAAATAACTCACCTCACGCTAATCCACTGTATATTTAATATTTGCGTTTTCTGATAAAATAAAGTATGCATACTTGGTTTTGTAATTTGCTGCTAAATAACTCACCTCACGCTAATCCACTGTATATTTAATATTTGCGTTTTCTGATAAAATAAAGTATGCATACTTGGTTTTGTAATTTGCTGCTAAATAACTCACCTCACGCTAATCCACTGTATATTTAATATTTGCGTTTTCTGATCAAGTAAAATATGCAGACTTGGTTTTGTAATTTGCTGCTAAATAACTCACCTCTCGCTAATCCCGTGTGTTTTTAATATTTTCATTTTCAGATAAAATAAAATATGTAGACTTGGTTTATTAATTTGCTGCTAAATAACTCACCACTCGCTTAATCCGTGTATTTTTAATGTTTTCATTTTCTGATGGAGTAAAATGTGTATACTTGGTTTTGTAGTTTGCTGGTAAATAAAACACCATTCACTAACTCATTATTAATTTTTAGTACAATGAGATAAGTTTGTAATTTGAAAATAAACGTGTAAGGATAGGTATTCAACGTTGTCCCTACTAGACGTTTCCAAAGCAAAATCGTTAGTCATGGAAATATGTGTGGGTTAAATGTGGTAATTGAGGAGATGTTGTTACCAGGAATAGACAAGATAATGGGTGAGCAGTTAGAAATACAAGCAGAACTAATAATTAACGATCAGAAAGGATGCAGTCTTCATTATAATAGGGAATAGTGTTGACTATGCTGGTAGAGAGGTAGAGAAACTTGAAAAATGGGGTGTCTTAAATGAGATTTATGCCATTTTGAGATGCTAGTTTTGTTCCAAAATGTATTTGAAATGCTTGTGTTTGTAATAAACACACCGTGGCTTACTTATGTTATGTAGCCTATACTGTAACAATTCATTCAGTTGTCATTGCATTTTTTCAGATCACTGTACCAATCGCGAACCATTGTAATCACGAACCAATTTCAGGAACAATAATTTTAGGGTATTATAAGAGTTGATTTTTATCTTAGAAAAACATAAATACTAAACTATTATACAAATAATACGATTTTTTTAAACTGCTCTACTTTTAGTATTATAACCTAATATTTGACCTAAGACTTAAATCGTGCATAGTAACATTTTCCTTGAATATTATAAGAACGCATCGTCGCACCTCAAAAAGTAATTGAACGTAAAACATAAATTAAATCTAGCAGCATAAATTATCTGCAGTAGTTACACCTTCTATTTACCCGTTTTCTTAATTTTATTGATCTAATATATTGCACAGTTTGCAATGATCATAATTAATTTACATAAATTACTTCCATTGTATTAAATCAAATACAATCTCATCCATGAGTGGTGTTCGTTTGGAAATCCCGAGCCGAGTGAAAGGACAGTATATGAAGTGAGATAGAGAATATTCACCCTACGAAATATGAAGCCAGCATTAGCCTCGGCCAAGGGGCGGGGGCGTCATTACAAGGGGGGGGGTTATCCGGACACCTTGAAATATACGGCGGCCAACTTTAAACTGAGAAATCGAATTGAATCCTCGCCACAGTCCTGTCCGGGTAACCAACTGACTATTCGAACATGGAACAGGAACATTTCTGCGAAGTAAACAATTCAACTTGTGTTAGAATTTTTTTGCTCATTTGTTTATAAGGAGAAAGTTGTTGGGAGTCGCAAATATACGAAAACCTAGTTCCTAGTTGTTAATTAATATTGATTTCTGTCACAAGATGCTTTATGTCCAGGATCCCTATTTTTGTAATTAATAATAAAATATATTAAGTGGAATTATTCACACTGTAATACTATTTTAGGTTTTGCCTATGTTGAATTTTTCTCCCACGCGAATATCGTTGACTTGAGTCAAGACAGTTGTTAAGGAAAGTCCCAAGATTGATCCATTACGACCCAACAACCAATAACCTTGCAAAAGCCAGCAAAATGTTAGGTTAGGTTAGTTTAGTTTAGTTTAGGTTCGGGTTAAGTTAAGCAAATAATCTAAACTAACCTAACCTAACCTAAACTAAACCAACCTAACACAATCTTACCTAACCTAACTTTTTGTGGTTAAGCTAGGTTAGGTTAGGTTAA